GTAATGTGTGTGTATATAGATTGATTCATTGAGAAAATTATTCATTCGAGTTTTATAATCATTAATGATAATTATCAAACGAATAAATATCATCAGTTTAGGGGTTGTTGAGATTGGTAAGTTTTGATCCCGCGAGAGGGATCGTATATTCGCACTGCTGAGGAGACTCACAATAGGACGAAACGGCCATCCAGTGCTTCTAGGTTATCAATGGTAATCTAACATCAATCGATTCATCATCTCAATCAATAACTTAATAATCTCCACAACCCCATACTGATCATTATATCCTACCTAATATGAAACTTTTCATCATTGTACATTAATGACTCCATATGGAATTTAGGATCTAAGAAGTTGGGGTTGAAAATGACAATTCGGAGACAACTCACTATTCAATGCGCGCTATCGATGTTTGAAGTTCACTATGAATGAAGATGATGATTTTCTCACACATGTGGGTATCGTCAACCAAGAATGTGAACGATTCCGGTTGAAGTCGCTTACTGAAGACCAACTTAAAGCACTCATTCTCATCTGCAGCCTTCAATCGCAGAAGTTCAGTGACATTAGAACACGCTTGCTAAGTCGTTTGAATCAAGATCCAAAACTAACTCTTAATGATATTGCAAACGAATATCAACGCCTAATCAACCTACAGCGTGATACTACGATGGTACAGAGTGGTGGTTCAGATCGCGCCGAAGTTCATGTAGTCCAACAACCACCCAACTCGCATAAAACTACCACAGCGACATCTAGTAAGCTTTTTATCTGTAAACATCTGAATACGTTTCATCTGCTGCTCGAGTAATAATTCAAATTTAAAAGGATCCATGTTCCCGAAACCACCGTCGCCAAATTGTTAGGTTTGTTAAGCTTGAATGTTACTACTGATTCGGCTTATTCGGAACGGAACGAAGGATCAGGATTCAGAGATTCGATGGGCTATTCTGGTTCGTTGTCGCTGAATCAGCTAACTCGATCAAGAAGTCTTGGTAAGACGTAGAAGTGTATTCTACAGGCAACCAGCAGATACCAAGTCATATCAGATCAAGTCAAGTCAATCAGGCACACAAGTCAAGCGTATTTATACAAATATTTATAATCGATATTGTCATGGTAAAATTTTTTAAACAATAATCAATAAGTCCATCAATGGACAGCCATTCAAATATTTAATCGATAAGTTCGTCAATTGACTGCTATTTAATCATTTAATCGATAAGCTCATCAATTGACTGCCATTCAAATATTTAAACATTTAATCGATAAGTTAATCGATATGATAAAATCACAAAATATGAGTTTTGGGGATCTATCGTCCCCAACAAGTGTTGATTATTTGATCATTATTATGGGTGACTTGACATTAAGTACCCTATTTTTCTAGTGTTAGGTCGTTGAATGTTATCAAGAAGAGGTATTAGATATAATTCCCAGTGCTATGTACTATCCTTCATCAACATATACTCACAATCTCGAAGATTCGCATTTCTTTCACTGAACTTGAACCCATATCACTCAATGTCATAGAGATGTTACTAATGTGGCTATTTGAGTCGTGATTGATTTTCTGTATGACCAGAATATACACACTGACTGATCAATGAGTATGTCATGTTTATTCTAACATCTTCATTGAAGATTTGATTTATACGTTTTACAATAGTGGCAACTTTTTTTGACTGTGATACTAGTTAGTGCAGCCTTGTGTTTCAGAGTAAATATCTATTTCTTCAAACGTGTAGATACATGCCTTGCTGATGCGTCTCACCTAGTACGAAAAGTAGATGAAATATAGGGATTCCTGTAGATTTCACGTAACCTTCTAACATGAAAAGTGATTTAATAGTCTTAGGTTCTAATAATTATTCTGAAATCTTTCAAATCGTATGACATTACGTGACCAGTGAAATTCTACTATTTTTTTCATCTATTACTCATTACAAATGAAACTGGTTTTGTTCGAACTAACATATGCCCGAGAAAAGCTTAGTTAGTTTAGTTGTCTGTGTTGTATAACTTATTCTCTGACTCTCAGCTTTTATGAAATGATATGCAGATGATCAGTCAGCTACAAGTATAGGTCATTCATGTATCCACGGTAACTGCACACATATTCCTGCCTGTATCAATCTGGGCACCTATAAATACTCCCATATTGTAAATTTAGAACAACATAGATGTAAGCGAACAATATTGTTTTCGATTAGATCCTCATCAGGCGTTACTCTAATATACAGTAATATTTATATGCAACATATACGAAATTATTAAACTAATCAAGGTAGTTTATAAGTGAACGATAACAATGGACCATGAAACGTATAGTGGAGAGAAACTAAAGTGGTAGGAGGGTGTGAAGAAAAATCATAAACGAAGAGAAAGTTAGAAAAGGAATAAATAAATTCATTATTAATTAAGGCCAGTGGAGAGATAAGGGAGTTATAAATTTCTTCTGAACACAAAGACTTGGCTTGTTGGCTCGGATTCCTATAGCTTCTGCTATGTGTAAGAGACGAGATCGAACACCATAAGGAAAACTAGAGGGAATTCGATAAATAACTTTGAACGACTTGTTTCTGTCCACTATATGACCGCTATCGATCAAGTGTGACAGAACCGAGCTGCGTATTGTTCTGACGTAACCTTTTCCTAACCACGAAGGGAGGTGTTCACTAACTCGTTGGTTCAGTTGCCTGTTAGTGCGCCCAATATAGCTTTGTGTTCAGAAGAAATTTGTAACTCCCTTATCTCTCCCCTGGCCTTAATTAATAAATGAATTTATTTATTCCTTTTCTAACTTTCTCTTCGCTTATGATTTTTCTTCACACCCTCCTACCACTTTAGTTTCTCTCCACTATACGTTTCATGGTCCAATTATCTGAACATTTCTTATTAAGTGATCTTATAATTTTATAATTGTTATCTCAGTTCCTATATTTCCTCCTAATCATTGGGAAGCCGTTACCAGTGGAGTTCAACCAGGTCTGTTGCGAGATATCAGCTCACTGAAGACAATGGTATATGGTGGCGCAACTTCGTGGATTGGTTGAAGTTAGACATTAACACCGTTGGATGCCGGCTCAGTGGTCTAATGGTTAAGTGTTCGCGCGCGAAGCCGGTAGGTCCTGGGTTCGAGCCCCGCGTGGTGCGGGACCGGGGTGCGCACTGCTGAGGAGTCCCATACTAGGACGAAACGGCCGTCCAGTGCTTCCAGGTTTCAATGGTGGTCTAGCTTCAACTGACTCATGACTTACGTCTGTGAAAATTTCTAAAATCTCCACAAACCCCTTCTGATAATTTCGTATATGTTGCATATAAATATTACTGTATATTAGAGTAACGCCTGATGAGGATCTAATCGAAAACAATATTGTTCGCTTATATCTATGTTGTTCTAAACCTATAAATACGTAAAGTTTGTTAATAAATTATTTGGAAGTTGATGATACAGCTTATTTATTTATTTATTTAAACACATAAATCTAACTTGATTTATTGGAGGGTTGTGATACTACCCGGGTTCCAAAACCGAAGTAAGTGGTTTTGTTATGGGGCCACGCCCAGAGCCTTCGACCTGAAGGTCTGATCCACAAAGCAGTGGAGCAAAGTAAAGAGATGCATTCTCATGTTAGCCGGTGACCAACGATTAGTTCATACACCATATGTTTTTTCAGGATCCTGGAACGGATGTACGCCACTGATTTATAACCATGGTCTTCAAACTCCCGAGTAAACCAACCCGGTTGAAGTACCGGATATTCGTTTTTCGCCCTCTCAATTTCGTAAACAATAGCAATGCAACGAGAAGGCAGGGAGTAGGACTTCCCCGACAGTGGTTGTATGCACGTGGCCACTTGAGAGCATTTCAAAAGGGTGAGCTTACTCTCCTCACTCTAAGCCGTACGAGCGTATTTGGGAGCCTAAGTATGTGTTGGAGGTGGGATTCGAACCCACGCCCTCATCATGGACCAGATGATGACACAGGTTGATAAACTGACTTGGTATTTTGGAGATCTGTGAGACAGAAAATGAGTTTCAATCTTATCGCATTCTGTAGACCAGATGATGTAATGAATATTTCAAGTTTGTACTATGTGGATATTTGAAAAGCCACGGAAATCTTGATGATCTAAACATCAAGCTCAGAAATATGAAAATCGCTGAAAATTGATAAGTTGTAAATCAACTAATATCATATTGTCTAGTTCGACTCTGAAATTGGATGAAGAAGTAAGAACGTCCAGAGTTGCAGACATGTTTGTCTAAAAAAATGCTTATCAATACATCATTTAAATCAAAAAAAGCTTTTTCATGTTTAGGTAACTGATTTACTAAATATTTGTTTACGGACTCGGCTTTGAATCACATTGCATATGCTAGTGAAACGACCTAGCTTTCTGAAATGAAGAAGGTGAAGAAGGATTCCAGTATGTTTAGCTGTTGAAAGATCTCATAACAAGCGATGAATGGATGTGTGAATAGACCCTTGTATGTCAGTGGATTATTCATCGGACCAAAAAATTCCTTGCACACATCTATTTCGGTCAGCCTTGACACATATATATACTATAGGTTTGTGTCAATTACTATTCGAATTATTGTGGGAATTCAACTTTCCAGGATATATCAGTATAGAGGTTGTGGAGATTGTTACCTTTTGATTGAGATCCTGAACCGATTGATGATGTTAGACCATCATTGAAAACCCGGAAGCACTGAACAGCCGTTTCGTCCTGTTGTGGGACTCCTCAGCAGTGCGCATCCACGATTCCTCTCGCGGGATTCGGACCCAGGGCCTTCAGTCTCCAGGATATATTTGATCTCTGGTTTCATATTGTAGACTGACCAAGTTTTTAGAAAGTGTATCTCAACTTATTAATAGTGATATAAGTGGTTTAACCAATTAAGCATCACCTCATTATAAGAAAGTACTACAATAATAGAATATCATTTGTCTTAATCATCGTTCATTCTTTGATTTACTTTTTCAGTAAATAATACAACTTCTCGAAATACTTCAGCTGATAAAAGTTCTGACAGTAGAACTATTAAATCAGCAACAAAATCACCTGGAAACAAAACAATTGGTATCACTGGTCAAAAATCTGGTTCTACACGTGGTACTTCAGCAAAAATTGATTTTAATCAAGCTCATTGGAAAATGAGAATAATATGTAATAATTCTGTAAGATTTATTCTTAGAAATAGTATGTTTCTTAAGTGGAACTATGTCGATGTTTATCTGTTGCTTATTTATAACAATTTTTCTAATGGTAGTCAATTTATTTCCTGTAGAACATTAAGAATGTCTAACTTGAACCAATTCACAAAATTGCCCCATCGTCTATTATTATCTTCAGTGAGTTACTGAAGGGTTCTATACTAGGATGAAACAGCCATCCAGTACTTCCAGGTTTTCCATGATAGTCTAGATCTCATTGACTTATGAATTCAAGTATTGATTTATAAATGTCAATCGTATTGTAGCTAGGGATGCTTATAGCTATTATTATTTCCTTGCAATAATGCTGTGTGTTTTATCTAACTAGTCAGTTGAAAAAAACATGTTCTCGTTTTAATATCAGAAAGGGTTTTGGTTGATATTCTAATAATTTTAATAGTTGAGATCATAAGTCGATTGATGCTAGATCACCATAAAAACCTGGAAATACTGGACGGCCGTTTTGTCATAGCATAAAACTCTTCAGCAGTGCACATTCACGGTCCCGCCCCGCAAGATCCCAACCCAGGGCACATCAATTTCACGCTCGAGCGCTTAGTCATTAGATCACTGAGCCGACCGGCATCCAACAGTGTTAATGTATAACTTCAACTAATCCACGAAATTCAGCTACATATTCACCATTGTTGTCATTGAATTACTATCTCACAACAGACCCGGTTGAACATTACTGGTCATTGGTTCTCACTAGAACTCCATGAAATATCTCTTGAAACCAGTCACTAGTGAGGATATGTTGATTAATATCAGAAGAGGTTTTTATGGATAGCATAGTAATTTTTTTATTTGAGATCATGAGTTCTCGTTTTATTGGTTGATATAACTGTCATACGCTTTGTCATATTGAACTGGGCTGTTTCTTCTTTGTTATTTTTATCTAACGTTGATTGTTAATTGTTGCTTTCACCATAGCAACTGAAACAGTTTCAGATTATCTACAATGATCATGCAATAGATTTTTCATTCAGAGTAATGCTGCAGTTGATGGTGAAACTCTGGAAGATGTGGAATCCTTCACATACCTGGGAAGCATCATCGATGAACAAGGAGAATCGACGCAGATGTAAAGGTGAAGATCGGCAATGCAAGGGCTGTATTCCTACTATTGAAGAACATATGGAACTCAAAACAAATGTCTGCAAACCAACATCAAAGTCACAATCTTCAATACGAATGTCAAGACAGTTCTACTCTACTGAGCTGAAACATGGAGAACTACTACAACCATCATCAAGAAGGTACGCAAGATACTCAACATCCATTGACCGGAAACCGTCAGCAACAGTCTATTGTGTGAGAGGACAAACCAGTTTCCATCTGAAGAAGAAATTATGGAAATACATTGGATGTGGATAGGACATACATTTTGGAAATCATCAAACTGCATCACGGGGCAAGCGTTAACTTGGAGTTCTGAAGGGAAGTGGAAAAGAGGAAGGTCAAAGAACACATTACGTTGGGAAATAGAAACAGATATGAATAACAACTGGAAAGAACTGGGAAGGATTGCCCAGGACAGGTTTAGATGGAGAGTGCTTGTGGGTGGCCTATGCTCCTCCACGTGGAGTAACAGGCGTAAGTAAGTAAGGAAGTGAGTAATCATTAAGCAATACTATTTATAATTAATTCTGGAGAATAGAAATTGAGTGAAAGGATAGAATGTTGTTGATTTGCCTGCATTTATGTTTATAGAATGTTTCTACTTTCTTATTATTTTATTAGAATGACATTAAAATCATTAATATGGATAATAAAATATTAGAAATTAAAGCTTTAAAAAGAGCTTGGGAAGAAATGGAACCTGGTAGAGCAATAAGAGCTGAATTATCAAGAGCACGTTATCTTGAAGAATATGGTCTAATGAATAAATTGGATAATAAAACTATTGTAGATGATTCAGGATCGACGATCACAATTAAATCTGATGGTTAGTTGTGTGAATCAATCAACTTTTTTTATTGTTAGTTGTGTGTATTGTCATCAAGAAACCTTGTTTAATCAAAGTTTCAACTCAACCATTACTCATAAACTAAGTATGTCTGTAGTCTTGATGGAACTGATTGACCTTGTAGGTTTCAAACTGTACAGAATTCGAACATGTCCATTTGAAATTCACAAACTTTATAAATGTGAGTATGAAAGAGTTCTGACTGATAATTGTCAATATTGTCGAATCTGAATTCCTAGAACATTCAGTCAGCTGTTACCCACAACCTAAAGACGAATGGGGAAGTCACTAGTATTATGAAATAAATTACTAATATATGTATTACGAATACTCAGACATATATTTCTGTGCACGTACTAGGCTGAAGTGATATCATATTGAGATAAGATGGTGGTTGGAAGTAGTCAACAGGAACCCCTTGACCTAGGTTTCGTGCTACTTGGCACTTGTCAGCAATAGGTACCTGTAATCGAGTAGACTGATGCTCCCTGGCAGATTCGACCCCGTGACACCAGCTTCATAGTTAGAGACGTAACCACTGAGCTATCTGGGCCTCGACCGACCTCCTGTATGACTGAAATGTATTTACAATTGATTGGTCACTGGGTAGTGATCAATGTCATTTATGTCAGGTGGATTTTAGTGCAGATCGAATCTTATCGATCAAGTTGTATAGTGCACGTTATGTCGAATCACCTAGACTGATGGCCACATTACAAATTGGTCGATAGGATTCAATCTTTACTAAGAAGGACCTGACATACATAACATTGATCATCACCCAATGATCAATTAATTGTAATATTTTGTCTTATTGAACATTAACTAGGAACATCGTAAGACATAGAGTTGATCACAGAAAATTATAAATAGTCATTTGAAAACTTGTAAGAACTTTGAAATAATAATTAACTGAACTGTTAAAATGAAAATGAACCTTCATGAAGCAAATGTATTCACCTCTTCTCTTTTACATCTTGAATCTTCATTTATTCAAACGCTTATTTCTCCCTACTCTTACCAGTGTTTTTATTAGGAAAGTATTTTGTTTGTAATAATATTCACATTGCACTGTAGTTACGACCATGGCATGAAAACTCAATCATTCAATTCCTTGTTAAATTCACATCTGTATCATTTGAAGAAGTAATAATTCAACAATTCCTATTATGACTTTATATCCGGCTAGTTATCATGTGATTTATCCACCAATCAAAATACGACTTATACAATCTTCGCACTGTGCCAAAACCAATGACGTTCGACCGGTATAGGCAGTCTAGCGTCCTTATTGGTCCTATATCCGCCTAGTCCATCCACTTGAGTCCAGAACACCAATATCAGCTTCCTCTATGCAAATCGAATCGAATCATTTGTTTCACACATACTGGGTTTATATATCAATCAAACAGACCGCAACGCACCATAAAATAGGAAATAACATTCATACACAGTAACGCCAAAATGTGGCTATGAACGTGGGAGGCAGTGGTTAATAAACTGAACATAGCTTAAGAACCATAAAGCATATAAAAATAATCTGTAGGTTGAAATGAAGCTTATAACAGGGGAAATATGGATATACACAGTCTAGTTACTGAATATTTATACCATAAGAATATATAAATAATATTAGTGCATTAATAGATCTCAGAAGTTACTGGTGACTTAATCTTCTCTCGGATATGACATAGGGGAGTGGCAACATCTTGATTCCAAACCAATGATTCATATGGGCTCCAATATCCTAAGGAAACAAATGGCATATGAATCAATTGTTGGTAACCAGCTAACATGAGACTGCATTTTCTAAAGTTACTCCACCGTCTTGTGGATTAGATCTTTAGGTTAAAGGCTCTGGTTATGCCTCCCTAAGAAACCCAACTGCTTCAGTTAGGGAACTCGAACATTCGATTTATATCCAATTACTGAATAGTTATATCATAAGAATGTATGGATTAGATTAGTCAGTTAATTTGTCTCAGACGTTACTTACTTACTTACTTAAGTATAACAAATCCTACTCACTTTTTTCTCAAAAAGGTTTCATTGTTTTCTTTCAACTTTAAAACATCACTAAATAATTAATCAATACATGGATAACTTATTCTATAACCTGAAGTTAACATGAAGCAAAATCGTAAATCATAGATATGAACAATTGACGAATCTCACAAACGGACGAAACATGCGTTAAATTAGATTTCATGATCAATTCATTTTCTTTTGTTTTAATAAAATTCTCCATCTCTCTCTCTCTCTCTCTTTCTTTCTTTAGATAATCTAATACAAATTATAAAAGATCATTCTCCATTAGATCAAACTTTATTATTAGATCCATCTAAAATTTATATTTTAAAATTCCCACCAGAATTAAATCGTACACTTTATCCAATTCAATTAATGAATTTAAACAAATTCTATCATCATTTCAATGAGATTGAATGTAAACGTATTGAACAAGTTCAATCTATTATGAATGCTTATTCAATGAATTCATGGTTTATTCTAGAATATTCTTTAAAACAAATTCAATGTTTATCTTATAAAAATTTAAATGAAATTTTAAAATTTAAATATCAATTATTTAATGATTATTTAAAAAATTTAAAATTTAAATATTTAAATTTAAAAAAAAAACAAAATCAATATAAACAAAATTATATTGATTTATTGAAAACAATTCAAGTAAGTATGATTCATCATTGTGATTAATATAATATAACAACTAATTTATGAATGAGCCAATCAAAGGTGTTTAAAAGAGATTTCAAGGTTATGGTGCTAATTTCAGTGCTTAATACGTCATTGGTCCAATCGATAATTCACTGTTCTCTAATTGGTGATATCATTCCATTATTGTCATCAATGAGTTACTATTTCATAACAGATCCAGTTGAACTCCATTGGTCATTGCTTGTCACTAGAACTCCAGGATAAACCTCTTGAAGTCAGTCACCAATAAGCATATGTTTATTAGTATCAGAAAAGGTTTTGTGGAGATTAACACTATTGAATGATGAACATCTGTGTGGTCTAGAGGTTAAGTGTTTGCGCGCGAGACTGAAGGCCCTAGGTTTGAATTCCGTGAGCGGGAGTGTGGATGCGCACTACTGAGCGCCACAATAGGATGAAACGGCCTTCCAGTGCTTCCAGGTTTTTAATGGTGGTCTAACATCAATTGGTTCATGAACTCAATCAATGAATTAATAATCTCCACTACCCTTATACGGATAGTTAAGCTCATATAACATATTTTAGCTTTTGGGTGAACAGGCTAATTAGACCTTTTGACTTATTCCCTTAACAACATTGACTGATTGTATATGAGTGTATGTGTGGGCATTGCTTATCTTATTCATCACATGGCTGTAGCTTATTTTTGTGTAACTATAACTATTGATTAAGGCTTGGTTAAATGGAGTTGGATTACACACCTTCTCCACTGTGTGCCATTTCACTTCATTCTCTTCTTTTTGTATCGTTCCTCTGAATGTCTGTCCAGATTAACGATTGTATGAAATATACATATTCGAAATCCTTTCTCGTATTGGACTTATTTTAATTCCCTTATTCACTAACGCGAGTTAAGTTGATAATTATCTACGAGGAAAGCCAGGATGTATATTTCGATAACATTTTTAGTGGTCGCAGATCTGACTCCATTTGGAACGCATGATTGATTGCTGTTGAAACATACATGTTGCCAATTGTCGTGTATAATTATCAACTTCATCTACGTTAGTGATTAACGGAATTATATAAGTCAAATATGTGAATGGATTTTGAATATATCTATATTGTACACTCACTGATCTGGGCAGACATTCAGAGCGACGAAGCAAAATGATGAGGTGTGGAGAATGTACAAAAGTCAACTCTATTTAACCAAGCGTTAATCAATATTAATAGTCACACAAAAATAAGCTACAGACATATGATGAGTCGGATAAGAAGTGTACACACACATATATATACACTCATATAGAAACAGTCAAGGTTGATAAGTAAATAATTAACAAGTTGAAAACGTGACTCAAGAAGAACCGTTAAATTGACCTGTCCAGAGGCTAAAATAAGCTATGTGGGCTTGACATAGGAGCAGCCACTACACACTCATGCGATTCAACAGGAGTCAGAACCTGGACCACTAAAGTAAGTTGCTAAGTCATGAGAATTGACTAGATTTGGAAATGTGTATTATTGACAGTGGATTTCAATGGTCAAAAGATATCTTATCATGTGAACTAAATGTTATAAGCTCGATTGTAAGTTGAATGATACTGTCCGAGAATAGAATAGTTATATAAATGGTAGATACAAGCAAATACTGAATCAGATATTCTAGTTGAGTTTGTAGTTCATTCTTAGTCTTTATGTTAACCTATTAAAACATTTGCATTATCATGGTAGCCGGTGATCAACAATAGGTTCATATGCCATTTGTTTCCTTAGGATCCTGGAGCCCATGTACAAAATTGTTTCGGAATCAGGGTTTTCCAACTGCCCTAGGTGGACTCTCCTTGTCCATCAACCCAGTTGAGGCGTCGGACATTCGCTTTTCGTTCTCTTAAGTTCGTAAACAACAGTGAGTAGGACTTCTCTGACAGTGGCTGTGTACGCGTGACTATGTGAGTGCATTTCGAGAGAGAGAGATGACTATACTCACCCTTGGCCATACCAGGGCATTCAGGGGCAATATTACAGTTAAGCACAAAAATTACCTGACAATTTTAAAAAGACTACGATCATGTATCCATACAGATTAGCCTTAATATACTACTGAATTCAATGGTGAGACTATAATTTATGGACAACCTTTAAGAGACGCTAAAATGACCTTGAGAATATTCACTATTTACTCAAGTTAAATGAGAGTTATAAATTAGATTGAGGAATGAGGATTAGCACTTACAGTTGAATGTTTGACTTAGGAACTAGATTTAGTATTTTCATCATGAATTGACATCAGCTATAATATCAAAATGGTATTTGTTATGTCTTTATGCTGGGCTAGTTATCACGTAACCTATTTCCCAATCAAAATATGACTTATTCGCCCGTGTTCTGTACTAAACTAATGAAATTCAACCGGTCTGATCAGCCTAGCGTCCTATTGGTTGGTTGTTCGCCTAACCCGTTCAGCTGAGTCCAGAATGCCAACTACAGCCTCCACTACGTGAATCATTCATTTCAGACATACTGAGTTTATATATCAAACAAACATACTGCAACACACCATAAGATAGGAAATAACATACACAATAAGGTCAAAAATGTGGCTATGAACGTGGGAGGCAGTGGTTAATAAACTGAACATAGCTTAAGAACAATAAAGCATACACTAATAATCTATAGGTTGAAATGAAGCTTATAACAGGGGGAATATGGATATACACAGTCTAGTTACTGAATATCTATAGCATAAGAATATATAAATAATATTAGTCCATTAATAGATCTCAGACGCTACTCGTAATGTAATGTTCACTTGGATATAACAGTATTTAACCAAATCAATGAATGAATTTCATGTCAAAATCCAAGATTTCCTATTCTTAACTCCAAATGGGTCATCTATAAATTATAGTCTCATCAGTTTTTGTTTTATTAAATATTCTAGATGACGTTTTCTTCAGTAAACTAAATCATTTGGTTAGGGAGATTTCGTCGCTTTTCTGAACGTTATCATCAGTAATGAAATGTTCACATTTCTCCACATATAACTCATAGCTTATTCGTGTAGATCTTGATGTTGATTAGTTTCTAGTTGATTTTCAATTTATCATTATTTACTTTTTTTAATATTTTGATTATATCTCTCATTGACGAGACTCTATGGACGACCTTTGAACGAATCTTGGATGTCCTTCAGAAATATATATATTCCAAAAAACCCAAAGAATTAAAGTGGTTCGAAGACTAAACATGGTTTGAAAAAGGTTCAGAGGTACTGAAGTAATAGTACATACGATAGAGGAACTCATCCATATGGCTCTATAATTGTCGACCTCTCGAGCCATGATAGGGTCGTAAGAACTTTTTTGGCTTCGACCACATAACTTCAATATTGTCAGTGTGTACTCCAGTTGTAGGGTCCACAAATTAACGCTTATAAATAACGACATGATGCACACATCCAATTTTGTGCAGGTATCCGTAGGCATCAGGTACTGAAATTAGCGCCATCACCATCAAATCCTTTAAACGCTTCTAATTGACTCGTCTCATTCTCTCATTTGGTTTGGATATTTGTTGTTCAATAATATGTACTTAAGATTGTGTTATTTTCATTCTTATTTTTTTCTTTTCTTTTTTAATCAATAGTTCGCCACTGATGAAGCACATTATAAATACTACGAAATGTGTATGAATTATAGAAATAATATAATAAAACAATATAAAATTGATAAAGAAACATCATGCAATCAAACAATGATTGAACATGATAATACAGAACCAATTCTAAATCAATTGAAAATGTAAAAAAAAGCACAAGAATTAAATCATCAAGAAGTTCAAAATCTAGTTCAAAAGTCGATCGAATTCGAATCAACGAAGAAATTGAAAGAAAAATAATTAACTCTTTGTTTTACTCTCTTGTTTTTTCTACCTCTCCCCACCTCCCGTCGTCGTCGTCGTTAATAAATTGTTATATCACTGATCGAAATCATGAGTCACTTGGAGCTAGATCACCATGGAAAACCTGGAAACACTGGACGGCCGTTACGTCCTTCTATGGAACACCTCAGTAGCAGTGCGCATCCACGATCCCTCACCCGTGAGGTTCGAACCCATGACCTGTCAGTCTCATGCCAGGCGCTTAACCAACTAGCTTCAATTGACTCATGATTTCAATCAGTGAAATTTCTAAAAATCTCCACAAAACCCCTTCTGATATATTGTTATATGTTTAGAAAATAATATGTATATAATTCGTTAGAGTCTATAACAGAGTAATACCTAATAGTTTGACTGGTCAGTATCGATAAGATATCTCTCCTCGCAAGATTTGAACCCAGGACATATCAGTCCCTGGATTGTGGATACGCAGTGTTAAGGAGTTCCATAATAGGACAAAATGGCTATCCAATGCTTTTATGTTTTCCATGGAGGTTTAGCTTCAATTTACTCATGAATTCAACCATTGATATTACTATAATATCCACAAAGATCCTTTCTTATATAAATATTTTTTATTTACATGATCTAATTCTATCACTTAGTGTGAATGTCATAGTTTTACATAAGGTCTGTCGTGTAATGAATACTACATTTGTAACACTCAGTGATGTCGGATAGAAACTTATAAGAATATCATTCCTGTCAAAAAGTCAGATAATAAGTTTTGGAAAGGATGAAACTTAGATCTAGGACTATTAGTTGATTATCTTCAAACATCTTAAATCGGACAAACAAAACTTCAACATCAGATCATTTATATTAGTGGATGCACTGTTGACTAGTGAGCGTGATACTAGTTACTATGAGGTGATAGACTATTATGAATCTACCTCTCGAAACCAACGTGTTTCCAGTCCAGTCCATATATATTGTAAGGGGCGGTGTCCGAAATCTGATACTGATAAACGATTTGCTACGCGCTACAACCCCAACTGACTACTTGAGTGTGAAAGTATGTTGAACTAGCGAATAAAATGCATAAGTCAGTCAGTCAGCCACCTACAAAGTAGGATCAGGCACATATATGTATCGGCTCAAGTCGCCATACCTCATTATCACAACAAGACCAACACAGGATTCATAGAAGTAGTTAACTCAATCGTGGTAATATATTAAAGAAAGATTTTATTTAAGGATATAGCGCAGAAAGAAAAAATTAGTTGGTACAAAGAAAGATATGAGGCGATTTCAATCTCACAGTTTAAGGGTAGACAGAGTGTGCATACACCCATACCATGGTGATCGGTCGATTCTGAGACATGTCACCCACAATCTCCAACCATTGGTTATGATAGTGACACGGACACCAACCAAGTAGTCTTTATCTACCAACATGGCTCACACCAGAATTTAGTGATTTCAAGGAGTGATGCCAAGTTTTCGTTTGGCCACCCCTAACTTCCTTCAGACCATCGCAAACACTAGTCAACATTGCACGTTGTGGTAATCGGTGTTCATGCATTCGTAACACGTGACCCAACCATCTCAGTCGGTGAAGATTCATAACCTCATCAACTGATTCACCATCATCCCCTAATACCCTGCGTCTAACCTCACTATTATTTACCCGATGATCGCAGCAGATAACAGCAATATTTCTAAGGCATCTGTGGTCGGATACTAGTAGCTTTCGAGTATCTTCTATACTTAATGGTCATATTTCGCAGCCATAATGTAGAACAGAACGAACTGCTGCACAGCATATTTGACCCTTAATTGATAGACAAATAGCTCTCCTTTGCCTAAGGTGACATAAGTTGGCAAAGGCCAAACGAGCTTTCTGAATCCGTGCTGAGATTTAGCATGTTTTTGATTCGGTTGAACGTTTGTTCGGCAGTCTCAGTTCACGTAAACTTGGTGTTGCACAACAACTTATATAGGGTGCTGCTATTTCTTTGAAATTCTTGACAAACCGACTGTAGAACGTTGCTCTTCCCAGGAACTGTCTCAACTTCCTTTTCGAAATAGGTACTGCAATATTTTTTATGGCAAGAATTTTCTCCGGCAATGGTTTTATTTCTCCATTTCCCACTTTATGTCCCAACAGCGTGACGCTATTTCTCGCTATCGGCGACCTGTTCTTAATTAGTCGAAGTCCAAACTCGTCAATTCGCTTTAGGACGGCTTCCACGTGCTTGATATGATCTGTTTCTGTTTGACTGCACACAACTACATCGTCGCCATATACCTCGACATTATCTAGATTCTTGAGCAGTGGTGTCATTGATCTTCTGAACGTGAACGGTGCACCCGCCAACCCGAACGGCATTTGTTTAAACTGATACTGTTTATCACGTACATTAAACGCTGTCTTGCTCCGATCGCTCTGTTTTATAAGTAGTTTCCAATAACTTGACCGTAAATCCAAGACTGTAAACACCGCGACATTCTGTAGTCGATCTAATGTTTCCACCACTGTTGGTATTGCACAAGGTTTCATGTCTCTTATATTATTCAATTCTCTGAAGTCGACACAAAATCTAAACTTTCAATTTGGTTTCTTTACCAAGAGTACCGGTGAACTGTCCGCTTTCTCATTTATACCTTCTTTCAACATTTCCTGGACCTGACGATTTACCTCAGCCTCTAAATGTATCGAGACACGACGTGTTGCAAATATATTACCACGGTCGTTGTTTATCGGGATTTCGTGCTTTACTTTGTCACAAAATCCATACGGCTACCTGCAGAGGTGATACAGAAGTCGCTCGCAAAAGACAAGCAAGCATCAAGAAACACTAAGAAGTGTTTCGTCCAATCAGCGTTCATTTGGAGTTTTGACCAAAAATATCAAGGTAGCTAAACGTCACGTGCGGAAGCTCTGATTGGCTGGCTACTACACTGCTACTATGTTTAGTAGCGTTCCAGAATATTCCAGCGACACAGGGACATTTAGATATATTATAAAAACCCTATATTTTCTGTAATAAAATGAACCTTGGGATAAAGTATTTTCTCTCATACTTGTGTCTTCTCTCTGGTGTTCAAGTCGCTGTGTAGTTCTAGACTGCAGGTTACCGGAATAGCTTAGGAAACTAATATAGCGTTCAATCCACACGACTTATCAGTGGCGACGGGGATGAAAACTACAGTGAATATTTCCTTGGAGCAATTAGAAGCCTATATGGTGCGTCAAGAAAAGAGGTTTGAAGGGTCGCAAATTAGAATCATGGAAACCCTGGTGCAGAAATTCTGCCTGTCCGAGAGAAACCCTGCTTCTAGTGAATCACAAGTATCACATATTGATTCAGTCATTAACGCCATCCATGAATTTAGTTTTGATGGTGTAGCAGGTGTCACTTTCGAGTCGTGGTTTAAGAAGTATGAAGACTTGTTTTACATTGATCTTTGCAAACTGGATGATGCTTCAAAAATCAGAATACTTCTTAGAAAACTTGGGACTATGGAACATGAACGCTATAGCGACTTCATTCTTCCGACGAATCCACGAGATTTTAGTTTTGATGATACAGTCAAAACCCTGTCCCAAATCTTCGGAGAACAATCATCTCCATTTAATATCCGTTACCAGTGCTTCAAGTTAACGAAAGAACCAGGAGATGACTGGGTGAAGCATGCAGGAACTGTGAACCGAGAATGTGAAAGGTTCAGATTGTCGTCCATGTCTGAAGATCAGTTTAAATGCTTAGTATTTATCTGCAGCCTGCGTCCACCCGAGGATGCCGATATCCGAACCAGAATCCTAAGCAAACTCGAACACTGCCCTAACATGACCCTGCAGGAAGTGACTACCGAGTGCCAAAGGTTTCAGTTTCAGTTTGGGAAGGACAGGAGGCTCGATGGCCTATGTTAGTCCTGGCAATGGTGGTCTCTCAGTTGATCCAACTTTCTTTTGAAAGAGTCGACGGATGGAGCCTCAACCACGTGCTGAGGTAGTGAATTCCACTCGTTGATGATTCGATGGGAAAGTCGATAGTCAGCTGACAAGTAATTTGTTCTCGGCTTATGAACTTTTTTGGAGTGTCCTCGTAAATTCTCTGTTTTGGAAGACAAGAAAAATGAGGGCATGTTAGGTGCAAATTTATCACTAAGCAATTTGTAGACTGTAATCAAGTCGCCTCTAGTTCTGCGATATGACAACGGGAAAAGGTTCAGCTTGGCCAGTCGAGATTCATACGGAAGCTTCGCTATTGCGGGAACCAGCTTAGTCGCCGTTCTCTGAACCTTTTCCAGAAGCTCACTGTCTTTTTTAAGCAGGGGCTAGCCGCTTGTATGCAGTACTCAAGTTTAGGACGAACGAACACTGTATACAAAGTCAAAAACGTCTTAGTGTCGACATGACTAAAAGCCCTACGTATTGACCATAACGTTCTAAAACTTTTGGCGGCTATTGCACGGCAGTGTGCAGTAGTCTTTAAGTCTTGACTAACGATAACTCCTAAGTCATTATATGTCTGGACGACAGGTAGCTCAGTGTTATTCATCGTGTATGTATCTGTGCCTTGATGACCGATATGCATCACAACACACTTGGAAGTATTTATCGGCAACTGCCATGTTTGAGACCATTCAGATAACTTCTTCAGGTCATTTTGAAGTTCTAAGCTATCACTCTTACATCGTATCGTTCTCCATATCTTGACATCGTCAGCATATAGCAAGACCGATGATGATAGGAGACAAGGAAGGTCATTTACATACAAGAGGAATAGCACTGGCCCCAAAACTGTACCCTGGGGCACTCCACTAAGCACAGTTTCCCAGCTAGATAACTTTGAGTTCACCCTTACTCTTTGTTGACGCCCAACTAAGAAGTCTTTTATCCACATCAATAAATTACC